TATAATTGTATTTAAGAGAATTTTGAAGGGGCCAGCGTTTAGGGCATAAATTCCTTCCCCTCCACTACCACTCTCTTCCCCCTTCCTCAACTTGAACCCTCCCCCACCACTCTTCCCCCTCCCCCACTCTTCCACCTTCCTCAACTCTCCCCCCCTCTCTTTCCCCTTCCTAACTTTTCCTCCTCTCAGTCTTCCCCCTTCCTCCCATGACACACGATGCCTTTCTTAAGTCTTCCTTCAACGTCTTACCTTTTCATCAGCTCCTCAGCAAGGACACGGTTGTTTGACTTCTTCAAAGCATGTGTCAACTCCCGAACCTAAACAGTAGTACAAATTAATCATTATGACATTAAGTGGCGTGAATAAAAGTTCTGACTGTCTATTGAGCAATTATCTTAATTACAGTCTGCAATCCGGATTTCTATTGGTAGAATTGGTGACCTAACGGATGAAGTAGCATGGGGAGTTCCTTCCGTACTTTGTCTGTAGCCTTTGACTGTGATTGTCTCCACTGGTACAGCATGTTGAAGGCCTGGGACTTGCTGTCGTACGGGTAGTTACGCTTGATCCGCTGCAGGGTGGCGTTACTTTGCTTCAGTGCTTTACCCAGTGCTTCCCAATGTTTGCCCAACTCGAACGACAGCCAGTCTAACAACTGGTTATTTAGTGGGTCTGGAAGAAATGAAGAGTGCATTGATGTCACCCAAACTGATAAAAAGAAAGTTGCTTTACGTACAGTTCGACATCGCTAGGTTTCATCAAGATATTTTATCTACAGGAAACATCAATTGTTACCATTTGTGATGTCCACATGCTTAGCTCGAGTCGCTCTTTCGAACCTCTTCTCCATCTGTAAAATACATTACAGCTCAATGTTACAGAATGAACGGTTTGCCAATGTATGTTTAATCTGTGATATGAAGAAGGTATTAAACACCAGAATTTATTTCTAAAGTATACATTTTATCAAATTTCTGTACCGTGACTCTTCAAAGAATTAACGTTATACATATACATATACACGGAACCATAAACTGGTGCACGTACCAAGTACCTAATACCAGTCCAGAAGAGAACAAGAAATAGCCATGCCTTCAAGTACCAGAGTTATCAACCAAGGATTGACGTGTTCAAAAATTCATTCTTTCCTAGAACTATCGCAGAAAACTGCTGTCACCAAGTTCAGTAGGGGCATTATCATTAGATAGCTTTGATGTTTAGAGTTAGATGTTCAAGGGTTATGTGTAACAAGTCGTTCGGTGTAATGTAGCGAGCTACTGTCGCGCCGCGTGCCTGCGAAGCTGGTGTGTTACGCCAAAGGGCGGTTATTTCGGCTATACCGATACAGATACAGTACCTTCGGTAGTGTGACCGCCATGGCGCACAGAAGCCTCCGCCGCCCCCCAGACTCCTCGGCGTGGATCATCAGCGTACCGCGGTAGGTCGGGTAGGCGCGATCCGCGAACCTGTCCCGCGCTTTGATCCAGAACTCGCAGACGACCTGCTGGTTGGCGTGGAAGCGCATGGCGACCTCTACCCGCCCGTCCTCGTCATCGATCACCAGGTTCCCGCCGAGGCTGATGACGACGGACTGTCCCTCCAACAGGCCCACTTCCTCACTCACGGGGGAGATGTCACTGAATCCTAATGCAGACCGCAAAAAGAAATGCTTATAAAAAACTGACGGGCCAAAATGGGAATAGCTGGTTGGGTGCCGTGAGTATGATGATGATGTGTGACTCAAATAATTGGTCATCTTGGTGACTTGAATTGGACTCATAGATGCACAATTGTAATGCATCATAACATTTATTTCTAACATAGAAGAGATATTTTGTAATAGTTTATTAGAATGTGCGATGAAGAATTACATCCTTCTTGTTTCATTTAGCCAGTCTTTCAGCTGGACATCTGACTGGTTATGTATGACCATATGGTTATGTCTTGTGGCCCCCGACATGAAAACACGAACATGCATTATCTGAGCAAGCCACTTTGTGTCAAGACAACGCGTTATAACGCTTTTGTTACCCGCGTTCTTGAGCTCGTCCTCGGCCTGTTCCAGGGTGTTTGGCGTGGCGCACCTGACCACTATCCTGTCCGGGTCGTTCCCGTGCCTGTGTAGGGTCCAGCACACGTGTGTCTCCCTCAGCGTCCTGTCTACCCGCCGGGTCAGGTCCTCCAGCAACCCCGGCACTTCACGGACTGTCCTCATCACCATGTAACTGGGTATGGGAACCACCATAAAGCGTATCACTATATGACACACTTCACAACAAGCATTATTTACCCGGTGCAAACCCGGTAAGCTTCTCCGTACGAGTGTGATTTTTGTAGTGCTGTCCCTGTCCTTGGTGCTGATGAACCAATCTTTTTCATATAAATGCTGCGTAAATGTTGTTGTAGTATTACAGGGCTCTGACAGCCCCTATCAGAATGCCCAAAGATGCAGGGAATCTTCAATTGTATTGACAGTATTAAACATACAACAAGTCCCCTATCTGTCAATCGGTTGTCCCTGTCCTTGGTGCTGATTAACTAATCTTCGCCTTATGCTGCTGCGATTTTAACAGCCGTTAGCCGTATATAAAAAGCCGTAGGGAATCTCCTATATTACTGACAATAAAAAATACCCTACCCGTCGGCCAGTTTGGTAGGCTGGAATGTGACCTCTGTGTCGGCCTCGTGACGTGACAGGTTGTTGACCTGCAGTGCCCACCGCTGGGTGGCGCTGTTGTACATCATGACACGGAGAGCATCTTTTCTGCCCTCCCGCTTCTTAACCTACAGTGGTGCAGCGCCAACAGAATAATATAATAATCATATTCTGGCAACTTCCACTTACTGAATGACACTAATTACTTTGCAAGAAATAGCCAGAATATTAACTTTATGTGTCGTCTTAATGTTACATAGTTCAGCTTTAGATAATCATTTTTAAAGTAAGAGACAATACTAGTATACAATGTACCTTACCTTGTCCAGTAGCATTTGCCCATACGGCGCCTGGCTAGCTCTCTGGGCCGGGGTGGGGATGGCTGGATCCCTCCAAGGGGGTAGAACGTTAGACACAGCTGTAGTGGGAACATTTTACATGCAGACATTAGGATCAGGGAGGGCCTCGAGTGGGGGGAGGGGGAAGATCAGGAAGGGCTACGAGTGGGGGGAGGGGGAAGATCAGGAAGGGCTACGAGTGGGGGGAGGGGGAAGATCAGGGAGGGCCTCGAGTGGGGGGAGCCGCCTGACGTCAAGTTCCGCCGGAATTTCTTGATTTGATTTGATTTATTAGAATTGCAAACAAGTACAATACTCGTGGACCACAGGCAGCGGAGGCTGGTGTTGTGGCCCACACACAAAACAATCACAAGCACACAAACAAGACACACATTTAAACCTAATATAAGTATATAAAAATAACTATAAGGGTACTAAAAACAGCATAGATTAGAATACTAGTGTATCAGTCCATTTAGTACTAGATACAGTTCATGCGGTTTCTAGCCGCCAGAATGTTCTCCTGTCTGGGGCCACGTCTCCGGGTCAACTAGTGCTTCTGCTGTGTGAGCAGGTGGGCCCGACACGTGTTCTTAAATATAGTGATGCTGCGGGCCTCTCTAACAGACTGAGGCAGCTGATTCCACAGTCGTGATGCATAAGGCAGAAAGCTGGCCTGGTACGTCTGTGTACGGCACCGGGGTAAGTGGAGGTGCGTAGCGTTCCGCAGCTGAACACGTGTCACCCTTTGGTCTCCTCGTGTGGTGGGAGTTAGTGGCTGGAGGTGAGGGGGGACTAGTCCGTTCACCAGTTTGTACATCAGAACCATAGAATGGAACTGCCTCCTGGTGGACAGACTGTCCCATTCTAACTCCTGCATGACGACACTTGATGGTGTACGTCTCATGGCTCCGGTGATGAGGCAGCCGGCCTGGTAATGCACTCTCTCCAACATCTTGCTGGATGAGCAAGACAAATCCCCGAGCAGTACGGCGGCGTACTCCAGTTTTGGTCTGACCATTGTGTTGTACGCCATTTCAAGTGCCTCCCGGGATAGCTTGCCCTGGAGTTTCCATAGGAAACCCAGGGTTCGCCTGGCCTTACTGGTTGTAATCTGGACATGTTCGGTCCAGCGTAAGGTTTGGTGAATGGTTGTTCCCAGGTGGGTGTAGAACGGCACTTGTTCAACTTCCTGCCCTGCGATGTATATGGGAGGAAGCTGCACCTTGCTTCTAGGGGACTTGATGCAAAGTACTTTGCATTTATCTGGGTGAAGTTGGCCTTACTTTGTATTCTCTCCTTTCCGACAGGATCCTTCTGTCCGCATTTCTATATAACGGCGCCCAGCTATTCATCCAGGTCCTGCTGCGACAATGGAGAGCCAGTAACAACCCAGGGGACCATGTTCCCGGGGCGTTTGCTCTCTTCTTCTTTTTCAGTACAGTTGAGTAAATCTCAGACATGTGTTCATCTCCAACAAAGTCCTTTCTTGCTTCGACCAAAGATCACAAAGCCAAAGGCTACTCAAAACCAATTCGATCGTAGTACTTACATAAATGCCTCCGCCCCTAAGGCGTCGCCTTTAAGCACGCACCAAGAGCCTGCTTACCTGCCTCGTGGTGCGGACAGGGCAGGGTGACGGTGACGGCCCTGCGGAAGTTGTGGACCGGCAGGTACACTACAGGGCCCATGGTCAGCAGCCACTCGTACCCCAGCGGCTCCCGCTCCTTCAGCTCGTGCACGAACGTGGTCGTCGGGCGGACCTAACAGGAAATACAGACGTTCTAATGTCTTCCCACACACCGTGAAACACACATATATTTTTATATTTTGGTATCCATTCTGATTGAAGAATACGACAGATCCACGTATGTCAGATGCCCTCTAGATCTGCTGTCAGACATTTGGCTAACGTAAAAATTCCAGTACAGAAGGAAAGCCCGATAATAACTCATTAAACAATCGACGAACTGCCAGATAGGAATTGTACACTAACATATATATATCTAAGATTCATGTAGATGCATGTTTTTTCGTATTCTTGTATTCATTTTTTATCATAAATGTACAGTCGATTCTTATATGTATATATATATGTATTCATGTATAGCCCTGTACGCTTCTGTTTCCGATAAACGAAATATGTTGTTTGTTCACTTCAAGTGTAAGTCTGCCCTTCTTCTTCCGTTTGGGATGGGACGTCCACTCCAGGGCGACCCTGTGGTCCACGGATGATTTCACGCTGCCCCCTGTCGACTCAAGGATGAAATGTTCCCTCTTCAGGCGCAGCACCACGGCGAGGAGACATAGCCTGCGAAGTTTCAACTGGGCGAAAAAGCCCTGCAAAAAAAAAAAGATTTTGGAGATTAGCTTATTTATCAATCTGGCGTCACCAAAGAGCGTATTATAAAAATGTACAAGTTACTTAGAACGAGAGGTAACTTTACGTCGGTGAACTTTACATCGTTTTCAAAATCATATCCAGTTGCTTGAGTAACTGTTTTTGGCGAAAGGTAATTTTACCTTGTAGTCCTCAAACTGGACATCAGTGTGTCGAGCATGCACCAGCCGCCAGGTGTCACCGTCAGACGAAACCTTCAGCGCGATCTCCCGGTGATCATTGCGAGGTAGCGGGCTCCCGATGTAAGGAACAGCTGGTGAATCACATGACAAAACATATTCCAGTAGTATACTACCGACCATAGGAGCTGTACGTAGGCAGTATCATCAACAAGTCATTATGTTCACCTTCGCAGAGGGAAACATTGTTTGTGCTCTGTTTTTTCTCCTCCAAACAAATAAGGCCAATGACCTACACCACCCGTCTGTCACTATGGTAACTGGTGTTGTAGAAGACCCCCTGTGGTGTTGGATTACATTATATGGCAGGACAGAGTTGGCGGGCTGGTCACCATATATATGAATGTGTTTGAGTACGAAGTATAGTGAAGTAGTTTGTTGGGCTACAGTATGTAAAACATTGTGCACTTGCTTTTCAAATTTTATCTTTCTAGTTTAGTCATTCTTTCTTTCTTTCAAGAGAGTTTCTAGCGAGGGCTTTAGCCGACGCAACACAGGTAACAGTGGCTGTCTAGTGTTGATAATGTACAGATAAGGCACACATACTCACCGACGTGCACCGGGGCTGGCAGCTCCTTTCCACACGGTTCGAGCCTGATGACGTCACTGATGAGTTCCTCGTTGTTGCCCACCGTCAGGTGACTGAGATGACTGGCGGTAGTCACCCGGATACCCTCCTGGTTTAGAGGAGACACGTCATAACGAGATTAAAAGAATCAACGTTGTGTTCTGAAATGTAATGATCACGAACCATGAAACACATTTTTGTTAGAAGCTGCCCTGTAAGTTAAAGACATCTTTCAATTTCACGGTGACAAAACAAAGAAATACTAGTAGTCTGGATGGGGAAATATGTCTGGTAGCATATTTTCGTCATCATTTCATACTTGAAACATTTAAAATGGCCCGAAAACAAAGTCATCCGAGAAGTCCCTTTATTTTTTGGTGCTACCATGTACCAATAGATCGCTGAAACCAGTCTACGATACGAAACAAGCAACCGTTTTCCACCAGCGACATCGTATTATTGCCTCACAGGTATCAGTATGCTATATGGGATAGGTTGTTGATTCAATTTACTGCACTAAAAATGACCAGAAACCAAATCGCCCTTTTGGTGACTTTACCAACTGAGAGCCTAGCGCCTACTCACCCCCGACCTTTCCACCGAAGCAGAAACGTTGAGATCCTCTAGAACAGAACTGGGGGCTTGGATAACGCAGGCTGGATTTGTGTCCTCATTAGAAGAGAACAAGCTGGGATGAAAAAAAAATAAGTTGGACTTATTTGAAATTTAAGATTCATACATGGGAAACAAGACTCTAACATTAACAGCATCCTGGCTGTCGACAGAGACTTCGATCAGGATCTCTACGGCCCGGTTTCTGCCAGATCAGAGTCTCTAGCCTGACATATACATATACTTCTATTGGTGAACTATTGTACTAATATGTAATTCTATCTCTTTGTTATCTATCGAACCACAGAGGCTATCTACTTTTGTAGAGATTTCGGTATGAAGAACTTACGGCAATGGAGTAAAAGTGTCGCCCTCCACGCCTCCATCTAGAGCAGATTCCGTCTTATCGTCCTGGACCCCCTCCTCTTCCCCGCAGTCCACTTCCTCAGGGTAATCCTGATCTCTATCCTCCTCCTCCTCACTGTCTAGTGTGTCTGAGTCCTCCGTCACGGGGACTTCCCTGTCTTTGTTGCTGTTCTTCTGGTCGTTGACTTCGGAGTCAGTCATCTTGTCGTCATCATTCTGGTTCACTTCTTCATCTTCAGCATCCTGTACGTCCTGTTTATCATCAGTGCCATCTTCATCGTGCCGTTCCTTTAGTTTTGTTCCATCCATTTCATCTTCATCCTCTCTGTAGTCCACCTCATCTGTACTTTGTTGGGTTTCGTTTTGCCTTTCTTTGTCAGAGGAATTATTTTTGTCGGCCTCAGGCGCTTCTTTGCCTATGTCGTCTGTATCCTCGCTTGTAACGTCTGTGTCGAGGTCGGTCGTAGTTTGTTCCTCTGTTTGTTCCACGTGCACTTCCTCTTCTTGAGCATCCTGTGGATCTGCTTTGTCATCGACATCATTTTCACGGCGTCTTTTCTCGGACTCTGTCGTATCCTCCTGCTCTGTTTCTTCTTCCGTCGTGTTCAGCGTATCTCTACTGTCGTGATCGTCGTTTTGTTCTTCCTCGTGGCCAGCCTTTTCTTTCTTTGTTGTGCTCAAGTCTTGCTCTTCCTCTGCGACTGTTTCATCAAGTCCAACCTCCTCTTCAGTTGCCATGGTTTCCGTGTGATTCCTAGCTACTCGAGCCCAGAGCACGTACCTGGTTTATTGGTCGTCTCGCGTCTATCCTAACAGGTTGGACAAAACAGAACAAGCTGACAACTGGATGCTATTATTGCTTGAGTCAGTGCTTGAAAACAGTGCGCTTGTAACACCTTAATTCAAAGACTCTTCTGGAGTAAAAACTATTAGGTTTTGTTTTTATCAACAGAGAAGAAAGACATGAGCAACGCTTTTAATCCTTGTGATTTATATTTGAAGAACGTGTATGGTTTGGGAACGTTTTGTTTTGAAAATGTTAGAAAGTGGTACTGTTACAGACATCACATTAACGGATATATGTTGTGTACTAATTTGCTCATTGCAGAGTGGGCCATTTACTATATATTCAGCCACAGCAGCACTCTAGCTCTCACCAATTATGACCCTAATTATGTGTTTATGGCGACTTCTTATCATGACACTCAACAAGGACGGTAAACACTCGGCTCGTGAAGATGTCATGATTGGTGGATGCCTTAGCTGTTACCATAACGACGCATAAACACCACACAACCATTATTGTCATGTGCTTACAGTAATGTTTATGGTAGGAAAATGTGTACAGTTAGAATAGAGAACAAGTCTACCACGCATTAGTTTACAAAACTCTCACAAATATCTTACCATGATCACGAGCTTAATGCTGTATACATTCTATACACAGTTATATAACCACAATCCTGCTAAGCCACACTAAGAGACATGAACTGTCGTTCTTTCCTAGATATAGAATGATTAGGCAGTATAATGATAAGAACTGACTTCTGTTGATCACGATTGTTTCGTATTTTTCAACTCCGTATTCCTATGTCGAAAGCCCTTCGTTCTTTTACTGCGTTTTATATCATCTTTGTAACTTAAAAAAAATAATGTCGCAATTTCTGTGTAAGTGCTAGTTGACTAAATTAAACTGAACTGAAAACAGTGGGACACCTCGTCTTCCGCTGTCCCCTAAAGGAAATCAACCCCCAAAGCCTTAGATTGTTTTGAGTAGCAGTTCTGTATAATAGCTACATGTTCCACTTGTCACCATTGTCAACTTGCACTGTCTGTATAAATTGTTTCATGTTACAATTTAATATCCGGGTATGAACTTGCGAATAAAACCATTTATAAAAGATAAGCGACTTTAAAGAACAATGGCGTTCAGCAAGCTGTCAAGCATAAATGACTTACACGTAAAATCTGACAATAGTTATTACAGAAATATTTCAAACGCTTTGAAACGACTTCATTTGGCACTTGTGTGTTTCCATGACGCACCACAGTCCTCGGGTTGTCATAAATTTAAAGGTAATACTGTACATGTCTGAACCTTTGGTGTACCCTTCCCTACAGAATAACATGTACCACAGTGACTACGAGACGGCACGTATGACAGAAAGTAATTTTCACGGTCATGTTCTAATCATCCACAGCTTCAGGATTAGTGCATACCAGCACTGGCTACTCAAAAACAACAAGTTACGCGGCTTTTAAAAAAATGGATTCGTGCATATACGTGTACACAGTAGTGTCACAACAAACGACTAGAGGGTTTTATCACAAACAAATGGTACACGATGTGGTTCATGAACTTGAGTTACGACAATATAATTCAACAGCCACGTTTTCTGACAATTCTTAAGGTAGTCTAACTAATTCATGCTGCCCTGACAAGGACGAAGATATCAAACATCACTGTTACTGTTGTCTATTTTAGCCTGCAAGATTATCGACGAAATGATTTTATTTCTCATACAAACATGTCAATTGTAAATGAATTATAAATGCGATCATTTTCCACAGTAATCTTCGGACGGGGATTATACTATATCCGCTATGTCTTAGTTTAAAGATTATACGAAATGTTGGGTCGACATGTACAATGCCCCACTGTTCTTCAGAGAAGTACGGTGACTTACTTGTGTTGATTCTCGAGTTGTTTCTTGGTCACGTAGTGTCCACTCTTGTCCTCTCTTGACCCCAGATACTTGTGAATCAAACACACACACGTCTGGGGCGCCCAAATCGTTTTCTACTGAGCACTACCATCAACGTCAGGCATAGACCTGAAAACCAGAATAGTTACAGAAAGTAGACCGCAGGAGTTTGTAAGCAAGTGTAATCCTCCCGCGACAGCTACATGTACGCAATGTGTATATACCGGGCCGGATCCTTGGAACGGGCCTCCTTGGTGACAACAGACAGCAAACGATGGAATGCCACGTCTAACGTTGTAAAATGGTGGGTTGTGTCATTACTTCCCTTCTCAGGGGGTGTGTATTTGAAATAGGATTGATACTAGAATAAACACCAGGGATCATTTTTATATACACGAACACGCTTACAAAAGGCAATAAAGTGCATAAGAATAAACACAAATGTGAGCTTGTGTTGTGAAGTTTGGCGCTGAAATGAAATGTTCTGACCAAACACCCACCCCTTCCAACAATGCGTGGTCCCGGTAACGGCGCAGGCATGTAACATATAGTTTATGATCACTTGATTGTCCCTCGGCTGATTAGGGGTATGTGCATTGTTAACACACGACCATTTATATAGCTGGCTGACCTCCAGAGGAAAAATGTCAGTGAGAACGGTGTTTTAACACCTGTTTACAAAACGTCCACATTGTGTGCTTACAAAACAAGATGCACTTGGGATGAGGACTTGGCAGGTGTATTTACTGTACACTGTGACGTTAATAGTTTCAACAAGACTCTGTCATCAACATGTTGCTAATGACATAGCACTTTTCATTTTAATACTTTGATATAAACCAAATTTATGACTTGCTTTTCAGGTTTTGGGGTACCACTAGTATGTAGCCAGCTTCATCAGTGGGTAAATTGTGGTCTCTTTCTTGGTAATAGTGTAGGTTGTCAGGGACATCTACTGACTCCTCGCAATGACTGTTTGCTGGCATCTCATACAGAACATCTTCTGGCGTCACATAAATGGCACCGTCTGGCACCACATATGTGGGCTCATCATCATCATCATGGAGAGAGGGGAGACGGGAAGAGCCTTCTCTTGGTGGAGCAAGGGGTTTCGCTTTAGTGGGTTTCATTGTACCTTTAGGATTGGTGGGGTGATGAGGCTGTGAGACAGCCGGCCCTCTCACGTGTAATGGTTGTGTGCTATTCAAGGGTTGAGTGGACGCCAAAGACTGGTCCTGCCCTGTCTGATCATGAGGGGAACCACTGGTCAATACGGTAGCTGCGGTGTTAGAATTTAGACCAGAGGGAGGATTCTTGGTCTTCCCTTTGCACCAGATTCTGACGACGACAACAATGACGAGCAAGCCAGCCACTGAGCCACAGACAGAGCCGATGAGAGTTGGTATGGAGTAACGGAGAGCAGATTCGAAGAAACCCATGATTTCTGTTATGTTAGAACTTTCTGAAGTGATGAATAGAGTAGAAAAGGTACCCATGGAAGAAAACGGGAAAGCTACTGGTGCCATTGTAACAGATGTTACGCCTTTCTGCTGAGTAGTGGACGACAGAGGAGATAACGTGTTGGTGGTAGAAAACGGGGAAGCTACTGGTGCCATTGTAATTACACCTTTCTGTTGAGTAGCGGACGACAGTGGAGGGAATGTGTGGGTGGAAGAAAACGGGGAAGCTACTGATGCCGGTGTTACGTCTTGCTGTTGAGTAGCGGGTGGAAGTGAATGAAAGGTAGAAACAACAGGTTTTACTCCTAGACTTTCTGGGTTGCCAACTGATGAAAACATTGACACCTCGGATAATGGGAACAGTGTTTGGGAGTCATCAGGCAGTGGAGGGAAGCCGGTAGAACCGAAGGGGGTGGTTTGGGGGACAGGACCGTTTTCTGTGTTGCTGAATGAAGGCATTGGAACTGTAGATGAAGTGAATAGTGTATTGATGTCAACAGGCAGTTCGGAAAATGTGGTTGGCTCATCACAAATCAGATTTTGGGGATTGATATCTTTGAGTTTTTGCATGAAAAAATTTGGAGGTTTGACACATATTATCTGGTTTTCAAATGCTACAGACCTGTACATTTTCAGCCTCAATGGGGTCATATTACAGTCACACTGAAAGGGGTTGTCCTCAACATTTACCGTGGGAATAGATGCCAGCATGTTATATGCCCGTAGAGGCATGACAGATATCTGGTTGTAGGACAGGTGCAACTTGGCCATGGATATGGGTAGCTTACCAGACTGAATCATTGTTATCTTGTTGTGGGACAGCCACAAATATTTCAACCGGGGTAGATTTTCAAATGCATCAGCCGGAATCATCGTTAACTGATTGTAGTTCAGGTACAATGCTTGTAGCCGCGGAAGATTTTCAAATGTACCACTCTGAATAATTTTTATCTGGTTGAAGGACAGGCACAATACTTGTAGCTTGCGTACTTTTGCAAATGCACCAAGCTGAATCAATGTTATCTGGTTGGAGTTCAGGTACAATACTTTTAGCTGAGGAAGATTTTTAAATGTACCAGTCTGAATAATTTTTATCTGATTGTTACACAGGTGCAACTGGTTCAACCGCGGTAGATTTTCAAATGTACCAGGCTGAATCATTGTTATCAGGGTGGAATTCAGGTACAATGCTTTTAGCTTTTTTAGATTTTCAAATGTGCCAAACTGAATCATTGTTATATTGTTGGAGGATAGGTACAAGCTTTGTAGCTTTGGTAGATCTTCAAATGCACCAGGCTGAACCATGGTTATCTGGTTGGAGGACAGGCACAGCACGTTGAGGTCGGATAGATTTTCAAATGTGCCAAACTGAATCATTGTTATATTGTTGGATGATAGGTACAAGCTTTGTAGCTTTGGTAGATTTCCAAATGTACCAGCCTGAATCATTGTTATCTGGTTGGAGTTCAGGTACAATACTTCTAGCCGGGGTACTTTTGCAAATGTACCAGGCTGAATCTTTGTTATCTGGTTGGAGTTCAGGTACAATTTTTCTAGCCGGGGAAGATTTTCAAATGTATCAGGCTGAATCGTTTTTATCTGGTTGAAGGACAGGTGTAACTGTTTTAGCTGGCATAGATTTGAAAAAGTACCAGACTGATGCAATGTTATCTGGTTGAAGGACAAGTGCAAATGTTTTAGCCGGGGTAGATTTTCAAATGTACCTGCCTGAACCATTGTTATTTTGTTGTTGGACAGGTACAACTTTATCAAATACCTATACGTCATCAACTCGGGCCGGGGTATAGTTGTAATAAGATTATGACTCAGATCCAAGCCAGAGATAAATGTATTGAGGTTCTGAGGGATGCTGGTAAGGCCCAGATTGCAGCATCTGCCGAGTGATGAACAGGTGTAGCCTCCTTCGGGCAAGTTGAGCTCCGTCAGGATGATGAGAAGGAGAATCAGCACGTGTCTCAGCTTTCTTGCCATGCTGTCCTGCCAACTAAACAAAGGCATCGTCAAAAGAAGCAGCCCCTCCGTTAAAATCCCAATCATTATAACCTGGACGAATCGAGTCAATGGTGCTATATAACTATTCTTGGGACTTGTACAATACAGTTCGGTTCTGATTTGGAACCCGCGGCAAGGGAATTAGAGTCCATGATATTCTTAGGCAAGTCTGATACATGGCGACTTCGTTACCACTGACTATTCATAACATAAGACGTGAGGTACGCCCAATGCGGCTAGTTATTAAAGGGACATTATTGCACAAAAAAGTGAAATATTTTGATGGAAAAAATCTTCGTGTGGTCATAATTTACCTCGCTCAACATGTTTGTACAGTTATCTCGAATTTCTCACATTTATGGTTGGCGCTAAAACCCACACCAGACGCACTACAAGAATGTAAACAAACATGGCTGACAGTTTTAAGCTTTTAGACACACTCGTAAGACGTCGACATTCATATTTTGACTACCTCCTTTTCCTGAATGGCATGATTGAGATAACTGTAAATTATCTGTATCTGTATAGCCGGTATGACCGCCTTTCGGCGTAACACACCAGCTTGAATTATGACCTCATTAAGATTTTTTTCAATCAAAATTTTCAATTTTTGGGTGCAAAAATGTGACATGATGCCCATTTAACTGCAACATAACTGGATACGTATTCAAAGCTGTTCTTACTGTTGTACAGCTAGTACTGTTGGTCACTGATACAGATTTTTACTGCATATTGATTGCAAATGGAGCGGCGCTAGTGTTGCTAGTGTTGACTGGGCGTACCTCACTACTCTCCAAGCAGAGGTTGAATGGGAAGATTGTGACCTTTTTCTATGCCCCGTTTTTTTCTGACAGCCGGCCCATCCGGTGGCCAATTGGATACTGTCGGCCGGCTGGATACTGTCCGAGTGTTGGAATCTTTTTCGGCCACCAAAAGATCTGCTTGGAGATTAGTACCTCACGTCTTCTGATAAATACTAGTAATTAGGCTTAGTGGTAATGTTGTAATGTTGTACTGTTGTAATGTTGTATCAGCTTGGTTTGTAAAGAAATCACCAGAAAATTGAGTTTTGTATCGCGCTAATCACATTTCAATGCAGCTTTAAAGTCTGTAGCTAGAGGCCTGTGTTTACAAGTATTTGTATTACATAACAAGTTATTTGTATTACATAATGGTCTACCCGAATGTCTAACCTTTATTTATGTTTATACAGTGATTTGACCCGAGAATATACTTACTTACCTTGAGGTTATTATACTTACCTTTGAAGCTAGTTAAAATCTGTATGTCTTCGGTTGGCCCTTTCTTTTGGGGCTAAAAATGAAGGACGGGTCTCAGTTTTGTTGTTGCAGTTGTGCCTCTCCGAGTCGATCTCTGTGTGGCTATGACGCAACGAAGTCTGACAAACAATACCTGATTAGTCTTACTTATGTGGGCGTGTTGATTGTCTGAGTCTGACGCCACGCGTGACTCAATGGTGCCCAAATGAACACTTTCAAGCGCCATCTGCCGAGAAAGTGACCAACTCCAGCGTGTCTGTTGAACCTTGCAAGATATAGAATATTATATATCCATATATCCATCCATATCGAAGTAAGAAATAAATAATAACAAATTCATATTTGGTAACCATTTGTCATTCCTCCTGTTGTCTGCCATCATATCCCCAAATGTTGTTTGGTTCTTACACAAGTTCCAGCAGGTTTAAACTATACTTCCATATTTTATTGTACTTTATTTTGACTCGCAAACTATTTCAATCGTTTTCTGTACAAATGTGCACGTGGAACAAAGGAAAATGGTGTTCTTCCATAAGTTGGTCAGATCAGATGTACCCTCATCATTTATTGATTCATTCAACTTGTCTCTGAAAAAAGATCAGAATGAAGGAATCGACCTGAATTGGATTTTTGCATGACTTGAGGTAATGAAATGATGTCTATTGTTCGAACAATTTATGCCGAATGTTTTGCATATTTTCACACATTCGCAAATCGGGGCGGTATATCAGTTATAGAGCCTAATCTGCAGTACCGTCCCCGGCCGACAGGACAAAAAGTGGCCAACCTTCGCAGCTGTAAATTTTCGTTTTAACGTTGAGAATTAGATCGGGTTGGCTACGATTAACAGTGAATTAAAATGGCTCGCTACACACTCACCGTAAAAAAGGCTTGCAGACCCTCTTCTAAGTGATACAATGCATCTGTATGAAAAACGGATTACCTGTATGACAATGCACGATGTTTTATAAAAGTGCTATTATATATATGAAACATGGATTACATGATAATGTACAGAATATGAAGTTCAGATTAGTTGTTTGTGTCGGAAATAATACTATTTTTTTTACTGAATTTTTATCTTAGGGATAATATTGGTCTGATATTGGCCAATGTACAGGGAATGTATGTATCCCATGATGCCGTGTAGATGACGTCATGACTGTCACATGATCTCCATGTCTGTGTGTCGCCCGGAGAAAGTGGTGATTCTTCCGCAGCGTATTTTCCTACAAAATCTCCAAGATGTTGGCCTTCATAGGGAGGATACTGGAGTGGTTTAAGTCCTTATTCTGGAAGGAGGAGATGGAACTGACGCTCGTGGGTCTACAGTACTCGGGAAAGACGACGTTCGTGAATGTTATAGCGGTAAGAAAGCGGCGAGCCAGCGAACACACACCCTTCCTCTACATGCTTGTTGCATCTGATCTCTCAAACGCAAACGTTGTGTGCGTGATGCTGCGTTATAAATAAAAAAAATTGCAGCCAGAACTAAATTTTGTGTCTTCCTTTCCTTTCCAGTCGGGGCAGTTCAGCGAAGACATGATACCGACAGTCGGATTCAACATGAGGAAAGTGTCAAAGGGGAACGTTACAATCAAGGTGAGATGATCTGTACTGCTGCACTGTGATCTTATGCAAATGACGTTTGGTACATGACGTGTTTTTTTTTCAAGGTTGCAGAGTTGTGTGTTTGTGTGAAAAATATTTACTGGTTAATGATATTCATGGGATCGATAACATATAGACCCTATCAAAGTAGTTTTATAGGGGGTGTTTGTATCATAAATTTAGTATTAACAATTTGAAGTATAGCATTATGTTTTTTCTCGCTGCCTACAGAGTGTGTGAGAGCATTTAGTGATTTCTAACCTTTGTGAGACCATGGATAGAAGGTCTAACCTCCCTCCCCACATTAGAATGTCGATACAGTAATACAGTATCTAGTGCACAACACTTGCCCATCCTGTGTCTGAAATGGTAACCATATCCAGGATGTGTGTGTCATATGACCTAACATGTGTCATCAGCTCTCCGCCCCCCTCCCACAGATTCATGACTCTGACTCACTTCTTACAAGACCTTCTTGTAAAGAATGCCTTAATTGGATATCCATGTAAGAACCCAACTTGGATCATCTCTCAAGTGATAAATGTATACATATGTGAGAGTAGAATCAGCATTCCACGGGTAGAGATCTTTACTGGATTCTCTGTCAGCAGAGACTCGCATCAGACAGTAGAGATCCCTATCTGAGTCTCTGCTGGTACAATCTGCAATTCTTGTTTGCAGTATCATATGCATACAGCATTAAAAAAATATTTAGGTTTTATGGCAAGCACAGACCTGTAAAATGATATCAGTAGCTACCAGTTAAGTGATTGAATATGGATTTTTATATTTGCTACGTATTGACTGTTACCACCTATGGCATATTAAACAAACAATGGTTTCTGAACAGTTCTAGTAATATGATCCATACTTCCTAAATTCATAGTGCAGGTAAATTTCCAATATCACTTGCACCAGTGCAGGTATGCAGAAAAAAAATACTTCAAGCCCAGACAATACTAAAGGTTGATGGCTGAGCCATTCTAATGCATCATGAGTTATTCACGAACCAAAATGGCATCTTGTGGCGCAATTAGTTGTAGAGCCACTGGTGTATACTGTACATGTATATAATACAGTATATTTGATTCTGACAACTTCTTGTTTTGTATTGTACTTCATCCCGCTCTATGGAGAATTGCTAAAAGCAGTACAGGAACACCTGCTCCTCTGGGGCCATAAAATATGTGACTGCCGTGTGACTTGCCTCCACTGGGGACTATGTTTATGACTGCAGTGGTTGTGGAGGTGAACTATCATTGGTGCAGTGTTAAAAGCTGATAAGATATAGGGATCTCCCCAGAGAGGGACTATGGATGGGGCTGGCAAGCAAAGATGATCAATATTAAGGACATCCAATGCAATTTTAGGACAGCAGAACAAACAAATTTCTGATATCCACATTTATTACCATTTCTTAGGTCGTCATGTCACTTCATTCTTCATCATTATTTCATACTTGAAGCATTTGAAACCAGCTACATGACTGTCATGAGGAGTTCTTATCTTGTATTCAAATGTAACCTAAAGCTTTGAAAGTTCTGATTACAAATGATTTTTTTCTTACGTTCAGATGTTTCGATCTTAATTCTTGCTACATCTTATTCTGTTGACTGAGTTGCATACAGATTCCTTCTAAAATGGAATAATCAAAAACCTTCATTTGCACTAGTAACTCAGCCAGCTCTCAAATATATTCAAATGCTACCTGTAATGTATTTATTGTTTCTTGGTATTCAGTTCAGATGTGTACATAAAAAGCAACATATGCAGGAAAGGCATAACAATCTAAGATCTCAAATGTATGCTTCCGTAACAGCCTCTTGATTAGGTAGCTCGGGTCAATTTTAAAGAATGGCCAGAGTCGGACTGTCCCCTTAAGAGCAGTTGTAAATATGTTATGGCTGCTGCCTTCTGTGTGTCCTTTGTTACATCAATGCTGTACTTACAATGCTACCCTATTATTTCTATGCCAAGGCAATCAATTTAGTCATATATATTTCCATGTCTCCAATGCAAATTTAATCATTTGTCATACTCCGTCACTTCAGATGCATTATGACATTCACCACACATATATCGATATTTCATCCTTGTGGAGTTAAATCAATTTTGTTCTGATATTGTAATTCTTGTCACATTATACACAAGGAAGAAATGTGAAATCATAGTAATTTTTTTCATTTTGTTGATATTTTTGTTTTTTGTTCCCTAGCTGTGGGACATTGGTGGGCAGCCCAGGTTCAGAAGCATGTGGGAACGCTACTGCAGGGGTGTCAACTGCATCGTGTAAGTAGAGATTTATCTGAAACACTGTTCTGACATGTTCCGACAAAGCCCCAAAACCTCTGCCTCTGTCTCCACATTTTCTCTGGGAAATGTGTTCTGTTTTATGTTTCATCCATTGTGAAATATAGTGCAGTAGTATATGTAACTACAGTAGTGCAAAGTGGAATGCACCAACTTTTTATGGCCATGCATATAGTTCTGCCATTTAATGATATCATTAAGTTGATAAGACTTGTAGCAGGAGGGTCTGGGTAATCTACATCTAGTTGTTACAGAAGTACTCTGTAAAATTCCATTAGCTGATGAGTGTTGAGAAGAAATGTTTTGTGCATTGGTTTTGTCATAGAAAAATCAGGCTACAAAATGATCGATGAATCACCTTCTCTGAGATCATCTCGTTTGCTCTCCCCCATAGATACATGGTGGACGCGGCGGATCATGAGAAACTGGAGGCAGCACGGAACGAGCTACACAACCTCCTGGACAAGCCACAGCTGCACGGCATCCCGGTACAAAAATGTTCCTGCGCTGGCCCGGTGTATTCTAGCAGAGCTCTGTTGTTGGGCTCAACTTCAGGGTCTATGGCTGTTGATTGATAATGTTGAGAAGCAGTTCATAAGACTCCAATAATGACTATGATGAATAGTATAGTTGTGTATTTTATGTTATGTTACCATAGGTCTGTATTTGGATCATTGTTTAACTCTCTTTATCTGTCATCCAGGTTCTAGTTCTGGGGAACAAGAAGGACCTGCCCAATGCTCTAGATGAGAAGGAGCTGATCGAAAGATTGTAAGTCTTAATTTTATTGATAACCTCCAGTGATATCTGGTATTAATTATGTTTTTTTTGGGCCACTAGTATTTCAAATGCCTGAAGTATAAAATGACCCAGACTTTTTTGTTTGTTTTGCGCTCCTGAAATTGCATTGGATACTTTTTAAAAGTGCCTATCAAGGAGAACCACTCTATTCCAAATCAATACTACAACAGACACCAAATCATTGGTGGGGAAAATTGCATGACAACTTCTGAGTTTTAAAAGGTTCAACAGTATGGACAATTTGTATGATAAGGATGCAATGATAGCTATAGCAGGGCTCAAAATATCACCTGCATATGCAGGTTAGTGCAGGTAAAATTGGAGCTGTGCAGGTGTTTCTTACCTGTACTGGTCCATGTACTAGGTTTATATGCAAATGTAGGTGCATGTAGATTTTTATTTCCTGCATTGACTGTCATCCACTATCATGTGGAATTGTATGTGTTCTAAGACATGTATCCTGTGTTGTAGGAACTTGTCTGCCATCCAGGATAGAGAAATCTGTTGTTACTCCATCTCGTGTAAGGAGAAAGACAACATAGGTGAGTAGGCAGGAAAAGATACTGTCTGCAGCAGGCAAAATTCTGAAACATCCTTGTTTTGCTTGTTGTATGCAGTGCTGTACATGGGGGTTGCCAGAGTGGTAACAAAATGCACAGGGTATGCAATGCAGCATGCAACTGCATGGCTGACTGAATGAAGATTGCCAAACAGAGAGCTGTATTGATAACGTGTGCAGCCAAACAGCATATGTCATTAGGCCGTACCAATTTGATGTGATGGTTCTCGGATTGAAGTTAGGAAGACAAGGAGCCCTTTCCTCAGCTGCCAAAATATGAGCATTTTCAGAACCCGAATGCTTTTTCTTTTTGCAAATGAGGAAAAATTGAAGCAGGCAAATTTGAGAACCAATTGGTGTGACTTTACATACATACATATGGGTCATCCACAGCATTGCTAGAAAATTGTCTCATAGCTATGGATCTGTGTCATTGTGATGCGATTATTATCATGATCACAGGATGACTTCACATGATCCAATTTCTCCTGCCTCTTCACAGTTATCTCCTAGAATTGATTCTGCATAATCATGAACAACATATGGATTCTGTATAAAGGGTAGAAAGTAGAATTATTATTGTCTGACTGTAGGTCATGGTACATGCATTTAGATACAAGAACAACAGCCTTGTTGCTGATGTTATAAACCTTTTAAAAGCTGCAATATATATATATATATATATA